TGTGAGGCTCAAGTTGTGGATTAGATGTGCCCATTATGCACAAATCTGTGCCCTCAGGAATGAATATCATCGGTTTTGGAAGGTGAAAATGAGTAATATATACGATGGGGTCATAAGAGATGGCCAGTGTATGGATCAGGTTAAGATTTCGAGGTGGGAAGACTTGATTATGGACCAGAAGCAGATTTGTGGTTACATTTGGTTTTAGAGGTGGAGCAATCACCTTGTTGTTAATGAGATCCCAAATCTCATGACATAATCGGAAGCACTAGTCAGTGTCATGACCGTGCTACTGGTGAAAAGTGCAATACTTTATGGGTTATGTTTGGGTGGAAGAGGATCGGGAAATGGGCGAGGTTCTAAGGGTTTTAGGTGCCCTTTTTTGACTAGCACCTACTTGGCTTTGGATAGGGTCATGTACAGTTGGTTAAAAGTCCTACCCTGAGGTCAGGTAGGGTTGGATGATGTTTGTGGGCCTATATTGGCAAAGGGGTCAGTAGTTTTTGTGGTGGTGACAACACTTACATCCGATGGCTTCACAGTTGTGCTACCACTGGCAGCATTGGAACTACGAACAAACGAACTTTTTGCCAGCTCCTTCTTATCTGTAATAAGCCCCTGCTTCATGGCATCTTCGCTTTGCACTCCCATTTCATGAAGTTCTGTAAATGTAAATAACCGGAGCACAATCATTTTCTGTAACAATTTGCCATGTAGATTCCGGATGACCATTCTGATTTAGTCCTTCTCGGAAGGCCTCGTAGTCATCATCAAGGCTTTAGCTCTCTATCTTGTCACAAATTTAGAGAAACCCTCCTTCGGCTCTTGATGTGTTGCCTCGAGATCATGAGTTATGACCTCAATCTGCGTATTGTAAGAGTGCTGAGCAATGAAGGCTTCGGCCATCTCATTCTATTTGACAGAATCTTCCAACTTAGCATACCAAATGGCCGCTATACCCGACATGGTGTGACTGAAGAGAGACAGCTTCTGTAGTCTAGTTAAGCCTATCGGCTGCAAGATATCTAAAAATAGTTGCAAATGAACTATCGGATCCTCGGAACCGTTAAAACGATCAATGTGTGGCATCTTAAACTGATCCGGCAATGTAACTACATAATCAATGTATCCATCCTCTATGTCTGGGATGGAGTTAACCCCTTGCGTTCTTTTGAATAGTTTCTCCAGTTTAGTGACTTTAAGCGTTGTTGGATCAACTTCGAACTCGAATGGTGCCTCGGTGTGATAAACCGGTGCTCTAAAAGCTTGCGCCGGGATAGGTTCTGTTGGATTTCCCTGGTTTTCTTGAACATTGGCAATATTAGCAGTGGCTTTGGGTGCTGGGATAGCTATGGTGGGTACACAGGATGCAGAGGCCATGGCCGGTTGCGGTGGCTGTTGCCGTAGCCTGGTTATGACCTCGGCCTGACGGGCCGCATCATGCTGTAGGGTCTCAACTGTTTGTTGCAGATGGAGTATCAGTTCCTTCATATTGGCTGGGGGATACTATACCATTGGAATAGGTGACTGGTTTTGAATCGGACTGGAAGTGGATGACTGTTCCTAAACCGAACTGAACACAGGTGAATTGAGGGGTGACCATTGTAAGAATTTGACTAGCGAACTCTGTCTAGTTCTCCTCTATCTTGTAACCAGTGAGAATGTCGTACACATGGGTTGTCCCTGAACAAGATCCCCGGCCTTGCACAGTCTTCTGATTCGGGTCCAGAGTACTTGGGGGATATCCGAACTTTCTGAAGCTATGGTTTAAACTACCTAGCAAAAAAAAATAAAGCAAAAGAGTAGTAATCAGAAACCGCACAGTACCTCAGCTAAGATGTTATCAACACAGACATGATTAAAGCTGTAGGCTTGTCCTTCACACTAAATCTTACCCCAAAACCAATACCAACTGTGCAACTAATATGTATATTCCTGTACAGTTTCACTGTAAAGCACATACTAATTAAGAGAGAACCAAAACACCCCTATGATGGGGGAGGGTTACCCTATCCTAGTTTTGTCATGAACTAGGATTCACTATTTCAATCAAGCGGTTTCACGCAATCCTATATTCCGGTGAGCATCCTATCCTAGTTTGGAACAATCTTTATGGCTTCACTATATGCAGCTAGGCCAAATGCTCAAATAGGGGTACCTCAGCAAGACTACCTAATATACCTCCCACACCTAACACCGAGAAGTGAAAGGAGGATCAAACAGTACAGCAGTAGTCCAGATCCAAGAGTTGTGTTCCCAATATAGAAGAGCCCACAACCGGTCAGCTTTTTAGCAAGCTTTTGGGCAAGCCTCTGACAAACCGTCCAGGAATAACAGATGGCAAAACACAGTGACTTAAGCTCACAAATGCAAATGCAATGCAAAGAACATATAAGCGTAGATAAAATTTCACATCACAAAATTCGAGTCAAGTTCTCTAAAGTCCCCAGCAGAGTAGCCAGAAACTGCAGCTTGCTTTTCGTGCTCCTTTTGGATACGATCAGCCTACAGTTTGGACTCCCGTGGTTCTGAATCTGATTCCACAAGTGCAATGTGAAATAGATAAACACAAATAAGTCCAAATCTGGCAAATCTTCTGAAAAATCGATTTTGAATCAAAATGCCAAAAATGGACTGCTTTTCTAGATTATAGAGTCGCCACCTAAATATTTTTTGAAAATTTAGGAAACCCGAGACTCGTGCCAAAGGCCATTTATCTGTCATCACCAAAGTGTCTTGGCTCGGGAACTTAGGTACGAGAAGAGAAGGTCATGAATTGAGCACCTCACTTGCCCGATCAAAGATTAGCCTCTACTAATCATGATGTGATTCTTATTTACATTATATGCTCTTGTTCTGATTATTTGGGCTAGCATTACTATGTGACGCACATAAGTATAGACTAATTTGTTGGAACATTTTGATTTCATGTTTGTTTGAAAATTATTTCGAATATGTATCACTTAAAAAAGTGATCACATATATACATTACTCAAATTATCCCAATTCAAGCAATTAACCTTCATCCACCGGCATTCAAACAAGTATATCACTTAAGCACTTAGCCTCATGGTATCATGCTTGACATGACAACAATCACACGCATGCGATATGCTAAAGCAATAAGTGCTCACCTAGTATTCCAAGGAAAGCCAAAATAAAAGAGTTAGAAAAATGCATGCTCTAACAATGAGAGTTTACAACAGATCTTTTAGAACCAACCCCTTGTCTTCACCCTTAAAATTGTTGTACAAATGCCCCACACAAAACCTGTGTGAAGCATTTGGGAACAACTCAGCCACTACATCAATCAAACCCTTTTGTTTATCACTTATGAAGGTATAACAATGAGAGTTTACAATATTCAGACCATGTCCTAGCAGCTCTAAAAACCACAACCATGTTTTCTTCTTCTCTTTCTCAACAATTGCATAGACAAATGGAAATAAGCAATTGTTTGTATCTATCCTAACAGCAATCAAGAGAATATCACCATGTGACCCTGGCATCCATCAACTCCTATGACTGGCCTGCAAGCATTCATAAAAGCTTTTTTCAATGGACCCCAACAGAAGTACAACCTTTTAAACTTTGACTCTGTATTGCTTCCATCACTAGGGGTGGGCGCGGGTCGGTTGTGGCCACGAAACCTTTAATCCACCATCCGCCCGTTAGATTGGTGGATTAGAGAAAATCAATTCACATCTGTCCGCCAATCCGGCGGATATGGATTGGGCGGATTAGCGGATAGATGCGAATCGGTTTAGCGGTTTAAAATTTATAAATTTTTAACATAATTCAACTTGTGTACTTCCTCAAAAAAGAAAAGAAAAGGAAAGAAAGTATTACAGTTAATGACTTAAAAAAAATATTACAATCACTGCATGCCTCATCTAAAGAAAGAAAGTTTGAAACTTTCGAGTATTACAATCATTGCATGTTTCATTCACATATTCACAGCATGCCTCATCCACATGAAGTATTACAATCTGTGGTTCTTAAAATGTAAAAACAATTCAAACCACTAAAACCATAAACAGAGCAGTAGTAGAGATTGTATGCCTCTACATTGTTACATTTATATCTATTTTTGAAAACAAAAACCAACCAGTATATATCATCTTTTTTATGTATTATTTTAGAGTTAGATTTAAAAATAAAAAAATATAGATAAATAATACATTTATTTTTTTCAATTCAAAAAATATATACAAGTTGAAAACTCTTTTTCAACAGAATATATTCAACAAAATATTTAAATTCTTTTTCAATTGAAAACACAAACAAAATATCTAAACAAACTGAAAACACAAAGTCTTACAAATTACTAGGGGTGCTCGCGGTTTGGCGGTTCGGTTGCAGCCAAAGGAACCTCAAATCCGCCATCCGTCCAAAATTAGGCGGATTGGAAAAAATCAATCCACAACCGTCCGCTCGTCATCACGCATCCATCCAAAATGCGGTGGATCGGTTCAGTTCGGTTGATTTGGGCGGATCAATACATCCACTGCTCACCCCTACCCATCACTAACCCTTGGATTACTCCCTTCATTAACCTTTGGAATCTGTTTCACCTTCATGCAGACTGTTGTCTTAGGATTGGTATTCCTAATCTCCTCAATATAACTCCATAATATTGCAAACTACTCAGTTGCAGTACCATCTATTTGTGTCAACACCTTGCTTCTTGCCCTTCTCACTTTTTGTAAGTCAACCTTCACATTGTGCTCACTTGAAATAGTGTCTACCAATGACTGAATTGGCCATGTTGGATTTAACCTAATTCTTTCAAAGTACCTCTTGACAATTCATTTGGAACTCACATATGTCACATCAAAAGACCTATTACAAGTGTGCTCATCAACAAGTGTTTTGATCCTCTACTAGGGATGGCAATGGATAACCTACCCTGTGGGTATCCATGGAGACCCAACCCAAATACATGGGTTTTCTCTCTTTTTTCTTATCTATTGGGTAGGGATTTTGATAGGTGATTCTAATGTGATGAACAGGTAAAGATTAACATTTGCCAGTTCTTCAAGGGGTACTTGGAGGGTCGATTTGACAGTTGGTCGTGGCCTCAGTTACTGAAATTGAAAGATTGGCCTCCATCTAATTCCTTTAAGGAACGCTTACCTCGTCATGGTGCTGAGTTTATCAATTGTTTGCCCTTCAAGGAATATACACATCCTCACATTGGTTTTCTCAATCTTGCTGTCAAATTGCCAAAAAATATTTTGCAGCCAAACTTGGGACCGAAAACAGATATTGCTTATGGGGTTGCTCAGGAGCTGGGGCGTGGGGACTCCGTGACCAAGCTTCACTGTAATATGTTTGATGTGGTACTATTTGTTTCTTTAGGTTTCTGGTACTGTAATTTTGCACTTCTGGAAAACTTCTATTTAGCTGGGTGGACTTTTTGGTTGTCTTGCTTCCCTTTATGTTATTTGCAGATGTTGTGGTTGGTTGTCGTTTTTTTTTGTTTTTTTGATAAATATGTTGTGGTTGGTTGTTAAGCATAGGTTAAAGGGTAATCCAGGTAGATAAGAGCCGAATGAGTTCATTCATCACTAGTACTGTTATGTGTAAAGTTATGCTGAGGCAGGCTTATGCTTTTTGTAAAAAAACTTATTACAGGACATCAATCCCATTTATCAAAATCTTTATGATATATATACACACACGATATGCATGTGTGTGTATATCTGTATGCTTATATTTATGTATGTAGGTTTCTATGTCTTTGTAACAATATACCCGATCCCTAAATGAGGGCTTTAATAACATTATTGTAGCAATCTTCTACACAATTGTGTTTTATATGATGGAGATTTGAAGCCATTGTAATGCTATATAACATTACTACGACTGTCATTCTGTTATTAGTTTTACATTAATTATGTATAATAACCTTGTTTTTGATCTTGTAGACTTAATAAACTAATGCCAATATGTTCAGAAAATTTACTAGTGATATTGTCACAACTGCTATGTCAGTATATGGCCGAAATGGAAGCTTGCATCACTGACCTTATGTTTTGAGGCAGGCATAGTTGACCCTTAAATTCTCCATTGTGTCAAACTTGGCATTTGTAGTATTTCCATTTCCCATAATTTTTCCCCTCTGGGGAAAAGGGCTCTTAAATCTAATGATTGGCTGTTTCAGGTGAATATATTGACTCAGGTTAATGCAGTAAATCTTGCACCGGATCAGCTTTCCATAATAGAGAAGTTGAAACAAAAGCACTTTAACCAAGACCAGCGAGAAATTTTTGAGAAGCAGCAGCTTTCCCAATTAATGGAGAAGTCTGGGCCAGGTGATTCTGGTATTCAGTCAAGTACTGATGCTGTTGCTGAAGTATCAAGCTGCTCTGAAGTTTCTATTTTGGGTGGTGGTGGGTCTCATAACATGCCTTTAGATGATAGACAATATGATGATGGTGGTTTTGTAAATGCTAAAGGAGTAACTGAACAAGCAGGTGAAGTTGATCTATACCACGATTTAAATGGTGTTGTGTATAAGAAGCTAGATAAAGAATGTCATTCTGCTTTTTTATCAGAAGAAGATAGCAAATAAAAAAATAAGTTGTTAACATTAAATATATTAAAAAAGAAAGAAAAAAGATTGAATGTATATTTAGATTTTAATAAAAACCTTAAAAAAAAAAAAAAAGAAGTTGTTAACATTAAATATATTAAAAAAAGAAAGAAAAAAGATTGAAGGTATATTTAACAAAAACCTTAAAAAAAAAAAATAAATAAAAAATAAAAAAAAAATTGTTAACATTAAATATATTTAAAAAGAAAGAAAAAAGATTAAAGGTATATTTAGCTTTTGTTGTGAACCTTAAAAAAAAAAAAAAAGGGCTGGTTGTTAACATTAAATATAAAAAATTAAAAATGGAGATTAAAGTGGGTTGGGGAAAATCCAAACCCATTAAGAAATGGGGAGGGTGGTACCCATGGGAAATAAAGTGGGTTGGGGAAAATCCAAACCCATTAAGAAATGGGGAGGGTGGTACCCATGGGAAATGGGGAATGGGGAAAATTTATTATAGGGGAATGGGAATGGGAATGGGGATGGGGTATTAATATCCACCCCATTAACCCCCATTGTCATCCCTATCCTTTACAACCCATCATGTTTTACATATGAAGCATAACAAACCCAAGGACAACCAACTTTGCACTTTGCCCTCACCTTTTGTTTGTCATTCTTGGTAAATGTTGTATGTTTGCCCCACTTAATTGCATACTCTTTCACAGCATCCCTAAATATATCATGACTCTTGAACTCCATACCAAGTTTGAATTGAGGATTGTGCAAATCAAAGTCAACATTAAAAATATGGTATAGCCTCCTATGAGAAGTACCTTCTTCATCAAATGAGCTGTCAATACTTCTTAGCTCATCATAGGAGCTTCAAAGGCTTTGTAGTCATCAACTGCCTCAGCCATTACATTTTTACTACTTCCTATACTAGCAAACTCTAGATCTTTGTCAACATTAGCCTCATACAATGCATCATCATCAAAAAATCCATAGTCACTATCCTCATATTTCTCAGACTCGTCAAATGAGGAAGATTCTGAGAGATTAGGATCATAGTCATCACTATCTTCCTCTTCTGCTACCTGTATATCTATAAGTACTCCATTTCTTTGACTTCTTTTTGCACTTGACTCTACTTGAATAACTTGGACACCTATAACACCATCCATTCCTAAACAACCTACATAAACCTCTACTACTCTGTTTCCATCCACAAGTGTCTCCAACCTCATTATATCTTGATCAGTGTTAATCAACTCTAACCTAGCACAATAATTAACCTTATAGTAATATATGTTATGTCCAGTGCAGCCTACTTCCTTGGCCATATTATCCAACTCCACAAGTGATATTTCATCAGAATTACAAAAGTCAAAATAACTGATAAATCCACCACTATAAACCCTCTAAGGATTATAACTAACCAAACCCCCATGATGCATTTTGATTGTGAAATAACAAGATCCTTTCTCTGCATTTTTAAATGAAAAAAATATGCTATTATGGACTAATTATACTAATAAATAAATAAAAATAGTATTCAACTACTATTACCATAAGACAGTTCCAATTGAAGAAATCCATGTATGAATACATTAAAAAAAAAAAACTTTGTCTGTATTCTTGGTAAATTGATTTTTAATAAGCATTACATAAAAAATGAGTTTCTTTTAAGGACTGATTAAACTAAAACTAATAAAGTATTACACTATTCAAGTAAAACAATTACGGTTAAACAAATCATTTTGAAAGACAAACAGACAAAGATGCATTCTAAAAAATGTCAAATCAAAATAGTATTATATCAGAAATCGATTTTTCATAATCATTAGCTTCAAAATTAAACAAATATTAAAGGTAAATACCATAAACAATTGGTCGCTTCCTTCGCTGGCCATCATTCTCTCTTCGAACTTAGCCCATGATTCAATGTTAGTTCGTACCCTTCGTTCAATGATGAACTTTGATTTCGATTTCGAATAAGGAGTTTCAAAACCCTAACCCCAATTTTGATCCCAACAAAGCCCTAGTTGAAGTATCTATCACACCAACTTATTTTGTAAGGAAACCCTCTTATATTCCCCCCAAAAGATAGTTCAGGGGGATAGCTCATCACATGCCGTCCAATTGTGGATGGAAGGTGACGACAGGGGTCTAATTAATCAATTTGTGAAAAGTTTAAGTACTAAATTGAAATAAATAGATGCATGGGGGGTCAACTTGAAAAACATGTGATAGTTTGGGAGGGAAAATGATATTTTCTCAAAATGTTGTATATAAATGGATTTCTTACTTGATTTATTACCATTTGATAGAAACATACGAGTTTCACGTGTATTTATTAATATGAATTCTACAAACTAAATATTTAGTTACAATAAAATTTAATGTGGAATTCATTTATAGATATACATTATTCTTTTACATATCACATGCCTTCATTTTTATACGATGGCTTTAATATGTACCAACCAATAAATAATCTTGCAAGTTCGGACTATAAAAATAGGATTTTATCTTGATTGAAATACATGAAAAAACTATAATGATCTAGCCCAAAACTTGGTACATTGGATTAAGAATGAGCTTTCAATTTCAGCTTTATTTATTTATTAATTTATTTTCAAGATACGACTCTTTCCAAATTAGATTAGACACTTAAAAAATCTGTTTCAGTTTTAAATGTTGCTGATCAATTTAGATCCGCTGGCCAAATTTGCCTACGTATATGTGAATTCTTTTAAGCTTGCATAGGTTTTGTTTAGTTTTGAATTTTTAATTATTTTTTTTGATTAATTAATTAAGTGCAAAAAAAAAGTTTCTTTCTTTTTTTACTAAGAAAAGCTAATAATGTAAAAAAAATAAAAATAAAAATCACAATTGAGGACCATTCGACTTTCTTACTAACGAAAAAAGAATTCTTTTAACATTTTTTTTGATATTTCGGAAATGTTCAAGAGCTGAAGAAAAAAAAAAAAAAAAAGGGAGCAAATTACCGCAATAGTCTTTGTAATTTACCTTTTTTATTTTGGTTCCTGTTATTTTAATTTACTCAATTTTGCCCTTTAATTTTACGGATTGTGTTATATTAGTCTAATAAATAACGGCAGTTAAGTTTGACGGACGGATAATCATATGATATTTCAATTTGGTCCCTGTAGTTTACAGGATGTGTCAATTTGGTCCTTATTGTTTTGACTTTCCTATAAACTACAGGGACCAAATTGAAATATCAGTTGATTTTTTGTCAATCAAACTTAACCGCCATTATTTATTGGATTAATATGACACAATTTCTAAAATTCATAGACAAAATTGATTAAATTGAAATAATATGGACCAAAATAAAAAAAAATGGGATAAATTATAGGGACCATTTGCGTAATTTATAAAATAGAAAAAAAAAAAAATACAAACAAACAAAGGTCTAAAGTCTCTTACTCTTTTCCTAATATGTCAGCCACCTCCAGATTTCTGACTTCTTCTAGTGCATCTTCCATGACTACTAACGCTGGTTGAAAAATTTGGAGGGAAATTTAAAAATGGAAAGCGAAAATATGTGTGAAATTAGGTGAAATATAAATATATTTTATTTTTATCTCAATCTACTTTATTTTTTTTTTTCCAAATTTCTTTTTAAATTCTCCAACCAAACACAGTATAATCAGCCCCAAGGTTTGTAGGCTTGTCTGCACACGCATTGCCTTCTCTCATAACATACTGAATTGTACAGCGGCAACGTTGCAAGAGGTGTTTTGTATTTTTATCAAACACTTCAAAATTTTTAATAATAAGTTTATCCTAGAAAATTCGAAAAAAAAAAAAAAATTATCAAACACTTCAAATTTTTTTTAATAGTAAGTTTATCCTAAAAAATCCCAAAAAAAATAAAATAAAGAAGAGAAAAAAAATGCAAGCTGGAAAACCATGAGGTAGCTGGATGTGGTGTACAGCTACATTTTCCTGTAAATAAAAATAATAATGAAAGCTGTCATAATATACTAATTAAGCTACATCATGATCATCGTGTTTTGTTCTTAGTAATAAACGGGTTAGTTTGACTTCTCTGCAAATAGGTTGTGGATTTGACTTCATCCAAATCTACTCTCTTCTACAAAAATCATTATAGTAGAATAAATCAATGGGTTGGAAAAGTAATCAATTTGAACTTGAGATAAATCTAATTCATTAATTTATTATAAATTTTCAATAATTTCTTATAAGGCAGTGGTTTTCAAAGAAGAAAACTAAGGTCCCGTTTTGGTTTGAATTTTGAAAATGGTTTTTGAGAGCATTTCTAACGGCAATAGGCATTTTACCTATCTAAACATTACTATAAAGTATATATTTTATTTTGCCTATCAACTGTTTCATGTTTCTACTCCAACCATGCTTTGTGTTTTAGCTATTTATCCAAATACTATTAACTTTATAGAATGCCACATCGGCAACAAAGATGGAAGGAAATAATCCTAATGATTAAATACATTTTGCCTAGCCTTGAAGGCTAACTACATGTAGTTAGTGAATGTGAGTTGAAGTAAAATGCCTAATCATATGCCTAGTGCATTGGAGTTGAAAAAAGTGAATCATGCTAGGCATTTTGACCAACAAGCATTATATACCTAGTGGGTTGGAGATGCTCAAAATTGAAAATTTATTTATCTTCTCTATTCTCAAAATTATTTCAAATTTATGTTTATTTCCAAAACTATTTCAAATATATTCCAAATATATCTTTATTCCTAAAACTATTTTAAATATATTTCAAATTTATCTCTATTTCTAAAACTATTTCAAATCTATTATACATTTATCTCTACTCCCAGAATTATTTAAAATCAAATTTATAGAGAGAAAATTACAGTGAACTCCCTTCAACTAGGGGTTGTTTGGGATGTCCTAAATACGTGTACTTTTTGACTTTTTAGACTAAAAAATTGAGAAAAAAAATTATGGTTGTTTGGGTTAACTTTTTGGGTTAATTTTTTGACTTCTTATGGAAAAATGTGTATTAAAAAATT